TATAGTACTAATGATTTACATATCGACCTCTTATTATTTTTCACAAAATAAAAAAAAAGATGATGAAATGTCATAAGTGAACTAATATAGTGTTGATGAACATCTCTTTATATCCTAATGTATCCAATTATTTTGATTTTTCTCTGTTCAAACTGATCTGCCTTTATTTGGATGCAAGCTTCTTCAGTTTTATTTGTCAGCTGCTTCAATGGTTGTATTTGACATACCAACCTCTGCTCTTTCCCATAACTCGTGTTATATAAATACGAGAAGCATTGAAATTTTCATCATTGCTTCTTCAAAAGCAACAGTACCATCAGCTTGCGCTATTTCATAATGCCCATAATGATTGTAAACAGCTATACTCTATCTCTAACTGTTTCGAAATGTTAGTCATTGAACGTTTATGGCTCTCAAGATTGATTCTTAGCTATTGGAAAGAGATATCTCTCTCTCTCTCTCTCTCTCTCTCTCTCTCTCTCTCTCTTTCATTCTCATTCAGCTCTTCAGATGTTGATGTATATCAATTAGTTTCGTTCATTGACTATCATGACTGAACGATCCTTAAGGAATCGAGACTATTCATTTTACTTCTTCTTCATCTTCTTCATCTCCTTCATCTCTTTCAGCCTCTATCCAACAACACTGTTCGGCTGCTTTGAAAATAAGAAAAAAAAGTAAAATATATGCAATGCCAGCTGAAATATATTTAGCTTTTATGTTATTTTATAGCTTAACGACCTCATTTACTGCTGATTAACGTCGTTTGTAAACATTGAAAACGAAATATTTGGCTGATTTTTCGTTCATTTTCAAACAGTTTTAATCAACAACACATTTATCTTTTTCTCTCTCTTTTTCTCTTCCTCTCTCTTACATTCTCTTTCTCTTACTCTCCCTCTCTCTCTCTCTTTTCCAAGCCTTTCACATGTCTATTGATAATGATATGCTAATAAGGCAATCAAGGAGGAAAGTTGACTAATAGAATTCTATTCTTCAATCTCTTGTTCAAGATATTCTGATTGGCATTTGAAATGTTCATAAAAGAAGATATTGTGATGAATAGAAGAGATAGCTGAAGCAAAAGAAGGTCAATCGGCCCAGCTTTTATGTAAAACGCTGAACACCCAATGCGTTTCTATTTCACTTTTAATATCCTCTTTTATTTGCATCATCTTGTTCCTTTTTCAGACAAAAAAAAAAGAAAAGAAAAGAAAAATGTGATCTTGATACCCACATCTCGCACCCACACATAGACACATACACATACGATATCCTATTGTATACATGAGGAGGCTTATATTTTCTGTACTTGGTTCATCTCCTCCCTGTCCCCCTCTACACTCCCCTCACAGCCACCCTACTCTTTTCCACCCTTTTTTTATTTCTTTTTAATGTTCGACAGATGGGAGAATTTTCAATTATTCCATTTTATTTTTCTCTTTTCAATAGTAGTTAGTGAGAATGAATCAAATAGCACTGACATATTTTTTTTTCTTCGTTTCAAATGTCATTCGTTGAAGTCGGTTGCCTGGCCATTTGACAATCAGAAGCATCTGCTTGCAAGCCACAATTTAAAGACAAAAAATGGCTTCTCCTCCTTCTCCTTCTATCTATGTCTCTATACTATAATATCTAGTTTGCATACAAGTCAGATGAATCGTCTCACCAATGCGGTCAGTTCATTATGAGCTCGCGCAGTTTGTTCAATTCGCTCATGAATCACATCGATATTTTCTATTTTCAAATCATTGTATGCTTCTTTTCCAGTAATTTCTTCTTGTTTCCGGATTGTTGTTGTTCTACGTCTTCTCTTCTGATAATCATTCTCTCTACAGTTTTTTTAGATTAATCATTATCATTTTAGAGGAATAGGATGACGGCTTCAACGATTACTCCAAAACCTACTTCACGCATTGTACCTGAGGTATCTATTTACATATTCATGTTATAACTCAATACTTACAACATTTCAGCCCAATATTCCCATCAAAGTGTCTGGTGTCAATGTATCACCTGAAGGTTGCCATTATCTCGTGGTCTACAAGGTACACTTTGGAGAAAAAAAATTTCGAATGATATGATTTCCGTTTATAGAATGATCAACCGAAACCACGCTGGGTACATGAAACTGATTTTCATCGCTATGACTTGATTAGAGCATTCAATGAAGCTGTTGGACTCATAACGAATGGTGATGCTTTCATGGTCTAATCCAAATCAACGTAACTCGAAATCATTTTGCATATTCCTATACCTTCTAACTTCATATCTCAGTTTTCTATCCGAATCAGACACATTCCTCATCTCGTTTTAGTTGCATGCAATTTAACAATGGAACAACCCTTTATCTCTACCTTCTCATCGCTAGAACTTTTCGCTTTCTTAAACTTGCTTCGCCATCTTAGAACCGTTTTACGATTTTCTGTTATTGAACACAAACGTATGATATCACCTTTCCTTCAATAGAACATTTGATTCTGGAAAAATAGCTTTCGATTACCTATATGTGTTGTTTCTCTTACATTTCCGTTTGATAACCTTCTTATCTTTATGAAAAAACGTTTTTTTAGTTCATTTTTCTCTCTCTCTCTCTCTTTTCTCTATTTCCTCTCTATCTTTCTCTCTCTTTCTATCTGAATCCACGAAACTCTCGGTTAACTTCAGTCTTAGAAGAAAAGATTGATCATGTATTATATGAAACACACAACACAGAGAAAGAAATAGAAATATCATGATGTTGAAGAGAAATGTTTATGAAATGACAATTATTGTAAACCATATGAAACTAATTAGAAACATTCATCTTATGAGGGCAGTTGTGTTTCATTATCTTATAACAGAAGGACTGGTAATGGCCTGCTTTCGCTCCATGTTTTGATTCAAGGAATTCAAAAGAAGAACCGTCAGATGTCATTCTCTCATACATGTAATGGGTTCAATATCGTTGTTAAGAGGCACAAACATTTAAATTTTCCCGCTCTTTCAATTACCATGATAGAATAGAATGATTAAGGTGTATAGAAAGTATAGAAAGACTAAGATCACTAGGTCTCTTCTATACATAGAAGAGTGTAATGATGTAAAGGAATAACAAATGGAAACTGTTCTTTCATCATTTCCGTTGATCATTTAGGGCAACGCAGTTGTTTTTTATAAAAAAAAAAGATTATTGAAAGGAAAGTTGAATGAAAACATTGTTCATTTCATATTCTTTCTTCAGCTTACATCATTCATAGAACGATCAATTCAATAATCAATAAATCCTTCCAAAGATATATAAATATATATGTTAACAAATAAAGAATGTCTTGGAAATAAAAAAGAAAAAAAAAGTATTTGCAATTGAAGAAATAGAATACGTGTCATGTCGTGAATACTCTCTACCTATAGTGAATTTGGTGTACAGAGAGAGAGGTGGATAGGGGGATGGAATGGAATTATTGATTACATCCAAGATTTGCGATGACCTCATTAACTCTATATTGTCATCGTCACTGTATTCAACGAAAACCGTCAGCATACAGCATTCCTTATGTCCTATTTACTTCTTCTTGTACTTTTGACTGCTAATTTAAAAGAAATTTCATCTTTTGATGTGCCATGCTCACGTGAGTCATCTTACTATACCATATACTAACCAAACTATATACTATAGAAAAGCTTGTTGGAAATAAATGTGATAATGATGAGAATTGTTATGGAATCAATACTGTATGTAAGAATGGACATTGTTCATGTCCAACCAATTATGAAGAATTTGACATTGATGAGAAAACGTCAATTTGTCGATTAGGTTCCGTTGTGTTGTTAATTCAAATAAACATATGTTCATTCGTTGTTACAGCTCCATCTCAGATAGGTGATGTATGTCAACGTGATTGCAAGCCACCACTTCTATGTCGTGATGGTAGATGTGAATGTTTTGGCGGATCAATAGTCAAAGGAAAATGTCGTGTAGGCAAGTTCAAACAAAATTTTTTTTTTAAATACTGGATTTTTACTCAATCAATGATTCTAGCATGTCCACCTGGTCAACAGCTATATGGTGTTGAATGTCAACGTGTCGCTCATTATGGTCAAGTGTGTGAAAAGGTGATTCTATCTTGCAGATCAGCAACATTCATTATCGTCTTAAGGATAATCAATGCGTTGATCCATTTAACGTATGCTCAGTGGGAACTTGTCAATGTGCACCTGGCACCACAAGGGATTTGAAGAAGAATGTTTGCTTTGCAGGTTATAAACAACAAATAACCTAATTCACATTCTTGATTACTTAAGTGTGTCCTGATGGAATGCATCCACATCAAACATGCAGACGTCTATTCATTAATGATATTGACATGCTAGAGAATGCAGCTAATTCAGATAGCTGCCCTTTGGGATTTAGATGTGTCACATATGGAAGTCCATATGTTGGTCACTGCTGTCGTCTTCGTTGTCCATACGGAGAACCAGATTTGAGGTGAAAGCTCATCAGTGCTCATTTTAAATAAGAAATTCAGTCAATCATGCGATGCTGGATCATCGGCTGAAGTCAAGTGTAGATCATTAACTCATTTCTGTTATACCATCAGTGAACCAGGGTTAGTCGACTGTTGATTGAAACAGAAGTTTCTATATTCTTCAGATGGAAAACGTCATTGTGTTGTCCTAGACCTTGCAGAGATCCAACACCATTGTATATCAATGGATCCTGCATGTCAATAGCTCACAGAGATGATACATGCCAAAATGATCAACAGGTATATCCATAATCAACTTTTCCTCAAAGCCTTTCCATTCAGTGTGAAGGAGGTATAACTATGAATTGCATTTTGGGAACATGCCAATGTAAACTCGGATATCAGAAGGTAGTTAGATATTTCATATCTTCAATGATATCAATTAAAGACAAATGATGGGAGATTCCCAACTTGTGAGAAGATATGTGATACCATGAATGAAGTATCATCAAATGAACTGTGCTTACAAAAGACAAAGCTTTATCAACGTTGTCTTACTTCAAAGCAATGTCCCAGCTTATCTGATTGTTACTTTGGTCGTTGCCGTTGCTTATGTGGATATCAACAATCAGTCGTTAGTGACAGTCATCTGTTCATTATATAATTCATATCATTAAGGATCAAATTCTTGGAGCACGTTGTACAAACCCAGAAGATCCTTTGAGCATCAATACCATTCTTTCTGGTGTTGAACAGTTGTTTGGAAGTAAAACAAGAAACTAAGTTTCTCATTAATAAAAAAAATATTAATTATATTGATCCAATGAAATGCTTTCAACACTTGTCTTTGTGATTCGATTGTAGAAGTTTTATAATAATTTGATGTTTGTTGATCTTTTTTTCGTTTTTTTTCATATAAAAATTTCAATTTGAAATTATTGTTGTGACAACTGTCTGTCTCATGTTGCTGTTGGAAGAGGAAAGAGATCTGGAGATGGTTGAAGGTACAGTTAGGATTTTGTAATGCTTGTATGTTATTCTTCTTATTATAGATTCTGATATTCTGTTCTTTGATTTTATTGATATCTTATCTCACGTCTATAGAACTAGCGATGCTTCTCTATACAGTTCTTATGTGATTTCGGTCTGACTGAACTTGGGAAAAGCAGTCACAAGCTTGTTTCACATGTTTCCTAATGACAGTAATGGGCATATTACTTCTTCTCACCATTATGATCAAATTCAATTGTTTAACAAAATGATGAAAAAGGAGCGGAAGAAGCAACAAGAAGAAGAGTTTATGAACTGTTCTCTGATGTTGTCTATTCCCACAAGTTAAAGTGAATGTTGCGAACTATTCGCAACAATTATGTTATTATAAGGACGAAGTTCGCGAAAGTTTTCATAACTCACACAAGCATGATTATTCCACATTTACAATAATATTAGGCTACTACTATATAAGGAAAAAGTTCTGTGGGAACAAATCACACTAGCATTGCACTGTAGAGATCCTAAAGAAACAAGTGGATGATACTAAATCATCCAGTAGTACTTGCATATTCTAACGGATCATCACTGAAGCACTGTTTTGTTCATATATTCACTTATTCACACTCATTTCAAAGTATAAGGTATTCATTTTCATCTATTCTTTATAAATCTTGTTAAACATAGAAATAGAGCCAACAAATCACTCAGAGAGATAGAGGAAGATGTCTGACTTAAATCAGACTTTATCGGATCAGGAGGTAATAACTTGTTAGTTTCCGTATTCTCTTTCATTATTTATTACAGGAAACTTCTTCAGATGAACTTAATACTTCCTTGAGCTATGAGGATAATGAAAATCCTCTAATGGTTAGTATCCTTAGCTTTTCAATCTCTTATCTGTTCTCATCAAATTCTTGTTCAGAACAAGGGTAGGATGCAACCTATTTCAAACATTGAAGAGTACATCTCAGTAATTTCAAATAGTTACAAACTTATATATTACTTTACTTATTCAGCTAATTACATCAGACGTACCTGTCGTGGCATGTGAAGATATCAGAAATCAAGTTTGTTCTTTATTTTTGAATTAAAAATTTCGTTATCATAGATGTTGATGAACCACGTTCAGGGAGAGACGTCGCAGGATAATAGTCTAGAAGAGACTGATTATGAACATGTACCTAATCCGAAGGTAATGTCGTCAATCATGAAATAGTATACAGCTCACTGGACACAGATACAGTACTGATTACAATGAAATAACTTTCAGATCTCCGTTGTAGGTGTCAGAGTGAAATCGGAAGAGAATCTAACTGATCGCTTAACGGTATGTTTATAAGTTGTAAAAGATATCTATGATTCTATAATGTAGAATACAAATAAGTTTGTAGTTGTTCTTTTGGTCAGACTTCATTATCATGTATAAGAGTATTCTAAGATCATGTTCTTTCAGTCTTCGGAATGGTTATCAAACTTTTTCAAGAGCAATCCTATCAGTGTGAGCGATAGATCATATCTCCCAGTACAGAAAGACAACAAAAGTTTCAGTTCCTATAATGCAAGTGATAACTCTAGAACAAAAGAAATTTTTTTATTTTCAAGTCAGAAAGCTGGTTCACAAAATATGCAGAGCAAAACACCCATGAGAAAGACTTTGAAACGGTGGTTGAAGTTTGATATGGTCTGAGAATCCATCATTCTGTTTGTATTTCAGAATGAAGAGCCGGTAGTTGATGTGGATGTTCGATTACAACAAGCTAGACTTCTTCATCGTCTGCCGGTAACAGTTTTATTCTTAGTGATTCCATCTCTCTGGTTCAGCAAAGGTCTTCCTATAAACAAGATGTACTAGAGGAATCTACGTCTCAAAGGAGCAGCTACAATGTCAGTTTTTTTTTCATTGAAGCCATTCATCAGTTCTTAACCATTCATTTCAGAGAAGAGCTGCAAATAAAAGGAAACGTTCTTTTCTAGAAGAAATATCTGTGTCATCTGATGCAAGCAGTGAGGTGGACATTGTGAATGGTAATGCATATGTTGACAGCGAATCGAATGATTCAGACACCGATACAGTTGTTCATGAAGACCGATTGGTAAGTTCTTTTTCATACTTCCGTTTATGATAACAGAAACAAACAAACAAACAAACATTCTATTAGTTATCAGAACAAGCGGTGATAGAGAGAGAGAGAAAGAGTGCGAGAAGGGGTCGAGAGGGAAAAAGGCAAAGAGGAAAGGAAATTTCCAAATTTTTTTAAAAACAAAAGTTTGAAAAGAGTGTTAATCCATTGAATAAAACAAAAATAGTGTCAATAGAACAGGTTTGCTAACAGTCAATACGAAATATATTTGTTTTTCTTGTTAGTAAACGAACAACTGATTTTCAACACTGTGTTGTTACTACTGTGCTTCCGATAAAGAATACTTAAAAACATTTTGAAAGATCATTTTGATTTGCTTTTGACTGTTTTTGGTTATTGTTACACGACGAATGTATGAGAATGGGGCCATTTTTCCATTGTTGTCATTATGTTAGTTCGTGTTACAATGCTTTAACATATCAATCTATAGATGGGTGTCTGGCATACATACACAGTGGGTGGGGGCATAGAAGAGAGATGGGGGAGGAGTATTATGATGTAAGCTTAATTGAAAGCAGATTCATTTTTGAACCAACCATTTACCTAATAATCTCATACTTCTTATCATTTTCCACGTGCGTAACAGTCGTTCGATGAGATAGTGTGGCACGGCTTTGTTCTCTGTCTCAATATATATAAAAGAATCTAAAAAAAAAAGATTTTCATCAGACTGAATGAAAAAAAAAAGATTATTAAACCGTTTTCGTTGATAGAATTACATGAGTTCTTATTCTCGGTGCATCTGTTCGCAACTATTCTAACATCAACACTGATCTGATGACACTGTTTTTCATAATGTGCGTTAAGAATGAGTACTCTCTCTCTCTCTCTCTTTTGTGAGCTCAATTGTTTTCTTTTTGCGCAAATATATAATCCTCGCTCATCAGTACGTATAGTCCATCAACCTTTTCATATCGAACTGGAACCCCATCATTAATTCACATTTCAACCAGAACACTAACCAGTTTTGTTTTTTTCTATTTTTTTTTATTTCATAGTCTCTTTTCTCTGCTTTATTAAACTCAAAAATGGCTGTTAAACTGTTTGAGATTGAGAAGCATCATCTCATTCATATATATTTCTATTTGGACATGGTTTTACATTTCTTCTGATCAGCCAGCTTCGTTTCATTCATTTCACTATCTCATCTGATAGTTCGTGACTGTCTTTAACTAATGTTCATATATGTTCAGTAGATTACGTAATGTGACAAGCTATCTGACTTGTATGTGAATGTGATAGCTAACACCTCGAATGCTACTACTCTCCACACTCTCTCAACACATATAATACCATCTATGATAATATGTTAATTATAAAAAGTATATTTAATTTTCATTCACAAAAATATATTTGCACCTACTTTCTTGATTACACGCCCTATCAGCAGCTTGTGTGCAATGGACTGTTTGATAACGATGATAACATGGCAATTGTATTCAATCTTCTAGATGCATAAGAGCATCTTATTTTTTTTTTCAATACAATATCTCTTTCGCTTCTTATTCTTCTTCTACTCACTTACTTCTTGTGTCTATGAGTTCATATGGATTATCTATAGAATGATGTTTGAAAATGGATAAAAGTACAATTAAATATATTTTTATTGTCAACGTTATGTCATTTATTCTTTTTTACTCCTTTATTCTCTTTTTTTCTTATTCTTCTCCCCCCTCCTCTCCTCCTCCCTTTTTCCTGATTCATTAGGACTTAAGTACCGTTCAGTCAGTCATCTTGAAAGACAATCAATGATAGTTGGAGGTTATAAACTCATAAGGCAAACAGAGAATGTTTTTATTAAATGCTTCCGTTGGTTACGAAATACCTTTTCAGCATCATAATCCTTTTTGCAGATGCAAACAGCTGCACTCCTTAAAGACTTCAATTGTCATTTTTTTACCATCTAAGCTTCATCTTCATTTTTTTTCTTTCTCTCTATTCATTCTCTCTCTCTCTCTCTTTTATATATTAAAAACTGTTTTTCAATCTGACTCTCAATACGTCATCTCATCATTCAGTACTGAATGTCATATACCTCTACTCTCTGAAAGTTATTAATATACCCATTTTTGTTGCAATTTCATCTTCTTCAATCTGAAAAAAAGGAAATAAGCTTGGTAACCAGTGTTCAAAAAACGATTTTTCTTTTTTACTTTTCCGCTACTGAACGGATGTGAACGAAAGTTATCAAGATTTACATTTGTATAGTTAACTGCTGATTACTTTTCCGTTCTCAAATACTATTTCATTCTGTCTTATTCTCTTGATTTCCTTCTTTACCGTATCAGCATCTCATAAATCTTATAAATCAAGATGAGCATATAGATTCTAAACGAGCTAACTTCTTTCATACATATGCTTTTAAGCTGTCTTGTGAGTAATAAATAGATTTTTGTGTTATTGTTAGTTATATGCTCATCTAAATATGGTTATGATCATGCAATAAGGTACTTTCATCTATCTAAATGCTCATAACCCAATTGTTTTCTAAGTGTATATGTATATGTTCATCCTTTCATCCCATATCCATTCTATTGAGCTGAACTGTCTATAAGCCGGCTGTCTTCAAACATCATTCTCGAACTCTCGAAAATTCTTTGCTTTCTAATCAAAAATTAATAATTAAAGAAGAAGAATATCTGATATCTA